GAATCCAGGGTTTAACATTGGCAGCAGAATACAACACCCCATTCTGCAAGGATTAACTACCAAGAAGTTTGAACCAAGCAGTTCAAGAACCCCCCAAGACTTCAAACCTGAAATCCAAGATTTAACATCGGCAGCAGTAAAAACCAAACCCTGAGTCAATCACAGTCAGTTTGAACTAAGCAGTTCAAGAAAACCTTGAATTTTAAATTTTAGGATTTAACATTGGCAGCGGTAGTGCAAACCCCCCTTTTTTCAGCGAACAGTTCAAGATAACCTTAAACCTTGAAACCTAGAAATCGAAGATTTAACATCGGCAACAGTAGAAACAAAGACCCAGCCAGGTTCAGTTTGAAGCAAGCAGTTCAAGTTAACCTCAAACTTTCAAACCTAGAATTCAAGACTTCGCATCGGCAGCAGTAAAAAAAACTCTTATTGCCAGGCCCAACTAGCCTGCACTTTGAACTAAACTGTTCGATAGAACCTGAAGGCTTTAGAGTTAGCATCCAACATCTAACATCGGTAGCAGTAAAAAAACATACTCCTATTGCCAGAGTTAACCAGTTAACCACCGTTCAATTTGAACCAACAGTTCAAGATAACCTCAAACCTTGAAACTTAGAATCCAGGATTTAACATTGGCAGCATTAAAAAACAAACCCCTATTGTCAGAGTCAACTACTGCTCAATTTGGACCTAGCATGTCAATATTACCTCACTGCAACATTCAAGCAGTAATGCCAGGAAACCCTGGAAAGGCCAGCAACCATTTTTTCGCCATGCACGCTCCCTGCATGGAAACCCAATGCATCCTAGTCCTTGTCTCTGCCAGTCCACCACTGAGAAGGGCAAAGTTTCGAAGATTCGAAGAGGCAACACTTCGTCCACGAGGGTTCTGACCCTGAACATGTTGTGAAAAACAATGGTCGCTTCTTTCTTACTGTCAGGGTGGAGCTAGAGATCGCCAAACGCAATAGGTGAAAAAAGGTCCTGGGCCAGGCTTTGCTGATTCGCCTCCAGGTTGAACGTTTCTGCAGCCAGATCGCCCAGAAAAACGGCTAATCAAATAACTTTCGACTAATCCGCAACTAAGGCTATCAGGCCCCACAAACAAAACAATCATTCCATCCCAGCGAGTGTGGGGATAAAATTTGTAACTATAACGTCTTCCCATCCATCGGCTCAGTGCATTCTCAGTGATCCCAATTTTGTAAACAGCTGGGTGCGGTCTTGACAGGTTGTGTACCACCCATTCACAATGTTTCAAGATACGCGAGGCAGATGTATCATTTTGTTTGCAAACGTTGAAGACTATCTCAGACCCTAATTGACAAGACTCCAGTTGTGCCAGTATCTCTGACATTCGAGGAAGTTCCAGAAGGTGCTTGTTGTCCTCCATCCAAGAAAATGGAGTAGCTGGAGAAGTCCTGGGCCCTGGCTGCCCCCCAAGAGGTACAACAAATTTTTGCACCTCAAACAATTGCAAAGTCACTGTGGTTAGTTTTTCTCGTAATTGCGCCACAGTGCTTCTCAAAGTTCAAACTTGCTGGTCTAGAGCGACCATCTTTTCATCCACATGATGGGCTTGCATTTTGAAACCACAGCTCGGACATCGCCATGACATGTGGCAGCCGCCTGGTTGGGGGCTATTGCTGCGAAGCTCATCATCGGACTCCCCCCAAAGCTTGGAAGCAAGAGTGCGCATTCGTTTCGAAGTCTCTCTCGGCATGGCCCATCAGCGGACGTGGCACTTGGACATGCACATTCCACCAAATTTTGCCATCTTTGTGTACCCTTTTGTCATGAGTTACTGGTGCGCTACAGTTTCGTTGCTCAAGGCTAGAACTCGGAAGGTGCAAATCAACTGTTCATCCTAAGAATGCGCCGCAAATCATCTGCAACCCGAAGCTTTTTGTTGCTTCGTAAATATTGAATTACGCTTTCCATATCTGCATCCAGCCAGTCATCAAAAGGCTCTGCCATCATAGAAGATAGAATCTCAGTAGCTTGCTGTGCCTGTCTTGGCTGCTCCTGCTTGCATTTTGCTTGAACAAAGACACAGCACAGAAATGAAGATGAATTATCGTGAGTGGAATTCAGCAAAGGATTGTCGATGCCAATCATCGAATAAGTGAGACACATATAAAAAATATTATACATATATATGTGTATTGTATGGTTACCGTTTCAAAACAAAGGCAGCAACAACCCGAGGAATGACAGTCCTTGTCGAAACGCAAGCCCCGGACTCCATCTGACAAATTTGGAAATATGGAAGCGATCCTGTACCCAAATGCTTTTGTGTACGCCCTTAGGTCAGGGGACCAGAACAGAGGCGAAACAGCAGGTCCACAAGTCAAAGGATGTCCACGAGTCCCACAAAAGTCAAACTTTTTGAATGAACACTGAAACAAGGAACTGCGATTCCTTGAGTTCTCTTTTTTTCCCAGTGCATCGTTTGACACCCCCTTGGTCACGGTAGGTCTTTGCCAGAGGTTGCGAGGCATCTCGCAAGGCTTTTGGAACAGGACCGTTGTCAAGGTACTGAATATGCCAGCTGTTTGACCAGAGGCAAGTTGCCTTCTGAGATTTAACACCAAAGTGTCTCATCCAGATCTGTTGGCGAAAGACCTAGCGATGGCAGAACTATGGATACTCGTTGCCGTGGTTTTGTGGCGCATTCTTATCGAATCAGCAAAATATCAAGGGCAACTGTTCGGAAAATAAAGTCGTGATTATAAAAACCAGGACACATAGCAAATTTGTTCGCAGAAAAACCGCCAGCGAGGCATATCACCAAACTTGGCGCTCCCTGGCTGTTCTAAAATGAACGTGTGTCCCAAGCTGGCGCACAGCCAGCATAAGAGAACCACTCGATTTGCCATGACATTGCCAAGCTTCACCGGGATTTTAGATTCGTCTCCAAGAGGGGAGAAGAAAAATCTCATTGCCACACTGGAACACATGAAGGAGAAACTGGAGCATACCGGCGCCAGCAAAATCATGCTGCAAGGATGCAGCTTCAGGATTGCCAACACCGCGCACCTGAGGACAGAATGGGTACAGCTCTTGTCCAGACAAGTTTGCAAGTCCTGAAAGCTTCAGCACATGAAGTCGGTATATGTCGATGCAGTCATGCTTGCCTGCATGCATGTTCATTTCACTCCCTTCATTGTCTCGGAAGAGATGTGGTAATGTCAGCTTTACATGTGCTCAGAAAATAAAAAAGGGTGTGATCTGGACAAAGCACGCATGTGTATCTCTTTTGCTTGCAGACCAGGTGCGCAAAACCACAGGGCTCAAAAATGTTGTTGTAGCGCCCCCCATAGGTGGAATCGAAACTCAACCCACGAAAGCCATGATGCTTCAGGCACCAGCTGACATTTGCTTCCCCGGCGAAGAACTCTGCAAATCGGTAGTCCTCAATGGCACAAGTTCAGCAACCCAAAGCCACCAAGAAAATCTCTGCCACTGTTCCTGAACCCTGGTTGAAAGATTTTGAATCCAAATCCCATGGCCGAAAGGGAAATACTTCGCCCTTTTCTTGCAACATAAAAAAAGCATTGCATCAAGTGAACACGGTTACATTTGCAAGCTTCGGCAACCAATCCCAGAAGATTAGATTGAAACGTGGTTGCATGTACTGCAAATCCACCGTTTCCGGAAACTGGAGAAAAGAGAGAGCCACCGCCCTGGTCTGGTGGAAACAATACGTGCTTCCAAGCAACCCAGGTGGCATCCAGCTCATCCGTGCTCAGCAGGAAAATGACGCAAATAGTTAAAGCCTGAAGGAACTTTCCACCAGGATCCAAATCTGACCCCAACCTGACCTGGTGAAAACTTTGCAGATTTCAGCATTCGCCAAGTATATAAGAATATAGGCAAAATCCATGGTGCATTTTTTTGCTTATCTCTATACAGATATTGTCTACATTTTTTATACAAAGATATATGCATATGTGTGTTTGTTTATGTACAGCAAAAATGTGTATATATAAAGATAATCTTCTATGTTTCTTTGACATGTGTTTCACTGATTTGGTGTCCGAATTTTCTCACAGAACCAACCTCCACATACACGACCAAAAAACAAGAGGGGCATTGGCTTTCCACAGTCGGGGCAACACAGTAGGCACAGACCATGCGCCCATGGCACGAGAGTGAGATGCCGGCATGACTAGCGACAAGTTGAAAGCGTGTTTTATTCAAGCGAGATACGAGACCAAGTTGTGCAGGATATTTGTCAGTTCGGCACCTCTTCAAGACCAACAGCCAACTCTCTGCTGCAAACCCAAACTACAGGAATGCGGTGCGAACAGCCTGTTGCACTTCCAAGAAATGCGACGGCACAAGCTTACCGGAGGTATATGGATTTCACCCTGCAAAAGACCACTGTCTGATCTGAATCAATCCTGGCCTGCCTGTCAGCTTGGCTGCACTCGCTTCCCTTTATAGGTCGTAAATAAAGGGACGCAAAAAAAAGAACATCATCCTCCCATCTTGGCGCCTCTCTCCTCTTCACTGGAGGAAGACGAAGATTGAAATCTGAAATTCTTTCGGACCTGAGAGCATGCGCCGAAAGAAAGCTATAGGAAAATAGATCTTGATGTCTCAGTTGTGCAATCTGCCTTCCACAGACCACACGCAGCAAGTCAGAGATTTTTCCCTGCGGTATTGCAAGCTACATCGCACCGTCACTGACATTCTGTCAATGTTCTCAAGCTGCGTCGCGGAAAAGATATACACAATATCTCATGTCTCCGCACGATCCCCTCTAGCCCCAGCACAAGCTGAGAAACGGCGGAGGCTTTCGACTTTGTTTCTGTATGTATCTCACATAACTTGTTTTCCCCACATGCCACATGTTTAAAAACAAACCGGAAACTGCTCAATTGCCCCACCTGTTCCCAGTTATTGTGGCAGCCCACATATCCATTTGTGTAAGTTCGATCTTGCTTTGCAAGCATCCTTCAAGAAAAACACTTTGCTTCTAGCTTCTAGTTCTAGTCCGCTTCAAGCCCCAAGCGCGCATTGCGCTTTTCCAAAGCCCATTCAGCAATCTTGGCATCAGCAAAATTGTACAGCACATCCCTGCTGGCTGCTGGGTTCTCCGTGGCAAATTCGACCTGAAGGCACATGGAATTTCACCCGGGAAATTACAGTGAACATGCCCAATTCCTGAACTGCCTTACACCTCCGAGAATGGAAACGGCATGTTCACAAACACAATCACTTATCCTGTGTTCCTACTTTGGGATTGTTGGAGAAACATTGAAAGCGGCATGAAGTCGAATTTGAAAGCTGCTCTTTTGAATTTGTGAAAAAGAGTTGAGTGGCCTCTGTCGACCCAGAACCTCAATACATTTCATGCAGTGTTCGTGCAAAAGCCAAGCAGCAACTAGATTTCCCAAGCGAACTTTGCCCTCGAAGCTCAAAGGGGTGGCCATTGTGGTCGTCCACACTTGCTTCTGCTGCTTCTTGTCCTTCACGCCAACTTGGAGACGGGTCCAGTAAGGAGTAATGCAATACCCCGCGGTGGCCACGAAAGTCCTCAGACAGGAAGCAAGGAGCAGCAACAAGTGTCTCGTCCCGATGATGCCAGCAGAGCTTCTGAAAAACAGGTGTATAGATGTAGAAGGTAAATGTTTGCCGTCGGTTTGGTTCACTTTGCCCAAGAAACTCCTATTTGATGCAGGTGCGTGTGTGTGTGTATCCATATGCACACATAAATAAATAAATATATATATATATAGATGTCTAGATTTCTCAATATGATGCTATAGTATGGAAATACCTGTTTATATGCAAGGGACCCCGTTGGTGCACACACACATGTTCGGATGGAACCGACCTACAACGAGCCAATATATTGAGCCATGTTGTGTTTATGTCTGGCTTATCTTGGCATTCTGACACGGAAGCCCGAGATTTTTGAAGCAATTGTAAGCGATGTTGAATCTTTTCGGAATGTCCCCCATGCACCCTAAAAAGGTCCAAAGACTTTCATGGAAAGCCTTTCTGGCTCTTCTTGGGGCCATGTTGCGGTAATGTTGGATCATATGGGCCGCTAAAAGTTTGTCTGGCGAACCATGACTTAGGCAAGTCTTAGGTCAGGCTTCAGAATGTCCCCCAATGTGACACCCCAAAACGGTCCAAAGACTTCCATGGAGCCTATGCTGAGCCTGTTATAGGCTCATGTTGGGCCTTTATTGAGCCATGTTTAGTCCATCTTGGGCTCGTGTGAGGCCTATATTGCTCCATGTTGGGTCCATATCTTGGGCCATGTGGAGGCGAGGTTGGGCCTTCACGGGGGCAAACGTGGCTTCAAGAATGACGCCTGTTTAAAAGCAATCTGGGGGGTACGCAGCATTGGGGTCCCTTCGCTATAGATGAACATAAATATAATATATATATACATATATATTTATATACACATGTATTTTGTTTACATGTATGTGTCTTATATTTGTGTATGCCCACAGAACAGCATGGGCACCAGCGAAAGAAAAACGAGAGGAAACAAAAAGACAGGCACAGACATGAAAGCCAAGGAGCGCTTTGTACCGGGCCTGATCCTCCTTGCTGACAAGCTGTTCGCTCTTCACCTTCTTTGGGGCCTCCTTCTCTGGCAACTCCTGCTCTGCCACTTTCTCAGTCACCTCGTTCTTTGTCGCCTTCGACTTCGCCTTTGCCTTCCCTTTGGCCTTCGGCCCTGCCTTCGCAGCCGCCTTAGGCGCCGAATCCTTCTTCTTCTTCTTCGGCTTAGCCGACTCGCGCAGCTTACGCTGGTCTGCATTTCTCAACGGGACGAAGTCGTCAGAAGCAGCCTGTTGGCAGGGTCGTGCTCAACCCTTTGCTGCATTTCAAAATTGCAAAAGGCATCACGAGTCAAGACACTTGACAGCATTGCTAGCACAAGGAACCGAGGCTATATAGAGAAAGATAGCCATATAGATAATTACACAACTACACTAAATATATTTGCGACCTGTTGAGAAGCAACCACAAGACAGGCATAGAGGCAGAGCAACTTGAATATCAAACCCTGTCCTGCCTCGCAGGGAACACCAGCGTCATCATCGCCCGCATCACCTTCTTCTGCCACAGCATCTGCATTGCCATATTCCATGTCATCGTCATCTTCAGAACCTTTTGCCTGATGGCCGTGGCCAGAAGAAACACTTGGGTCATCCTCACGTGCCACATCCTGGGAAATCTTGGGGCCACCATCCGAGGAACCAAAGTAGTCTGCACCGTACGCCTCAGTGATCATGCCATTGACTTCGGCGACCTGATCCGAGGCAAGCGGCCGAAGGCGCTTGCGACATTCTGGAGGAATGTGGTGAAAGGCCAACTTCCGCTTGGAAGATTCGTTTGGCTTCTTCTCGCTGGAATGCGCGTGGCCTTTGTCTGAAAGCTTCTCTCGTGGCTCTGGAGTATGGAGGCTGTTCTCCATGGCACATACGGGCTCAGAATCTTGCATGCACTGCGACTCTTCCACCCCAAAGATTTGCGACTCTTCGACCACGAAGGTCTGCGACTCTTCCACCTCGAAGATTTGCACCTTCTGTTCCTTCTCTTGGCGCAAGCAAGCAGAAATAGCTTCGCCAATAGCTTCCTTCCAGGAAGCAGGTGAAAAAAGGAAAAGGGACGAATGCTTGTGGAAACAATGGGTGCAAACAATCCTGGAGCAAACGGGAAATTTTTGTTATCCATCAGTCCTCGACTTGTTCTGGGTTCATGGGCAGCGTGCCATCTGCACCAGGGTTGATTGACAGGGCAACCTTCTCAGCTTCCAGCAATGCCTGACAGGATATAGAACATGTCAAGCACCAGGTCTCGAGAAAGCAGAGGCTTCTCTTCAGGATACATGCGGCTATGTTCTGCCTATGTCTGCATTTAGGCAGCTAAACAAATCCCATCTATTTTCGCATATTTATTCAACTTATTATGTAGGCACCTAAAAGATATACCGAATAACTTGTCCAATCAGAATCTACACTAGCTTGGGCACCACATCAGTAACTTTTCTGGTGCAGCATCCAGAGGGATTGCATGGTTTGAAGGCAAATTCTTTGGAGCAGGAATGCAACAATTTGGGAAAATGATCACCGCTGAGTCGCTCGCCAAAACCACATTACATGCTGCAAGCTGTAAGTGCACATGGCTGAGATGTGTAGCCAAATCTTTGAAAAATAAGATATGCGCATGCGCACACACACACTCATATATATATATATATATGTATATAACTTGTGGTACACGACAAGATGAACTGCTCGCCACGCCTGATCACGATCAAGACACTGAAGCTGAGATGGCGTGTCCAAGCCATGGTCGCCCACGATGTCAGCATCAGCAAGTGTGTCCGCGAAAGCGATCTCGGAACTGCTGTCCAAGCATGTGCCTGGAGAGCCCACCATGCTGCCAGCCTCGCTCTCCTCATCAGGCTCTCGTCGTGTCGGCAAAAGATGCTGGAGCGAAGAAGGAATGGCGTATCCCTTGGCCTGCATCCACTGGAGATTTCTTGGAGTCAAAATCGAGTCAGGGATGGAGTCCTCGAAGGGCTGTGATTCTTCCTCGGGCAAGCGGAGCCTGTCATCCCAAGACACAAAGTCAGCAGCGGCTGGTCTGGGAGCATCCACCTGGGGCCATGCCACATGGCCAAGCGAAGGAAGATAAACTTGCTGCTCCTGCTCCTTTTCAATGCCAGGAAAGACTTGGGTATCTTCAAGCATCAGCGCAAGGTCATCAACTGGAAGTTGTTCAGGACAGAAAGGCGCAGGAACCCCTGCAGAAGCGAGTCCTTCACCATCACCATCGTCATCACTACTCAGACTGCCACCAGGTACGTCGATTTTTGGCCAGTTTACACCATTCTGCAGCCCAAGAGTTGGGAGGTAGACATCTCCCACATCATGATCACTGCTCGAATCCACTTCCTCAACATCCATCGGATTTTGCCCCGATGGATGAAGACCATCTGCTATCCCAGCACGATTCCCAAAATGACTGAAGCAGGAAGCAGGAGGTGCAAACACTCCCATTGCACATGCGCTGGCCGATGAAGAAGGTTGGGACCATGGTGGGCTCGCACCGTTGTTGATCACAGGTAGGCGAGCAGCATCTTGCGGCTCTAGATCTTCGCTATCAGAAGAAAGCTCCTCCATCAGTCCCACATTCAAAGGCTGATGCAAGTTCATATCAACAGGAAAGGATGGCCTTGTTGGCAAAGAAGGCAAAGAGCCACCACAGCGCACAGGCTCAGCTTCTGGCGTTGAAGTGGTTTGGGGCTCATGATTCTCAGGGCATGCTGGCGGCGCAACAGCGTCGGAGGAAGTCGAGTCTTGGCCCAGACTCTGCGACGAATCGGACTTTCGCTTGGTGAAGAACTTTCGCTTCCACTTGCCCTGCAGCCTGGAGCAGAACAAATCCTGAGCAATGAGCGTGTCTTGCAACTGTCTATCAGTGAAAAAGAAACTGCATTGCCACAAGTTGATGGGTGAGTATAGAGTATCGTATCCCATAGATGCGGCTTGTGTAAAAGGCGTGTGTATATGTCCATATAAATATATAAACCCTTATGTGTTTTTCGATTACATCCCTTTTATGGGCCCATGTTGCACATCTGCCCTGGACTTGATCTTTCTGAGCGCGCACATGCATGCAGCCATGCAATGCAACTTCCGTATTCTTGTATGCATGTAGCAATGTAAATGCTTCTGTGCTGATATATGTATGCACGACGTGTCCCTGAATAGAAATTAATGTATGAAGTATATTTGCGTGTGTGCACGATGTATGCGTGCAAATGAATGAAAGTGTTTGTATGCAAATTTGTATTGATGTTATTTGTAAATGTCAGCCAAAGTACGCATCAAAGATGATGCCTTGGCAAGCGTGAGAAGCCCACAAGAGGCGAACACCCATCTTGTGCCCGAGAGTCCGAGAGCTGCTGCACTACAGGATCTCGTTGTTCACCAGCACGGTCGACCAATCCTCAAGAGTGGCCCAAGTCATAGAGAAATCTTTTCCCCAAAGTAAAACCCAAGAAATAAAAATGATTATAGATTCCCTATACAGGTGTGGGTGCTAAGGTATAACCAACAATTTTGGGAAACTTCTCGAAAGAAAAGTTCCAGGGACGCCAAACCATTCACAGTGCGTGACAAAAATGAAACTCTACCACCAGTTGCTATTTTCAACACATTGATTTGGAAACAGAACAGCTTCTGGGCAGAACGATATTTTTGCCATCGTTTTTAAAAATCACCACTGCGCAAAAATCTAACTTTTCGTAGCCCCAGCAGGAAAACTGGAAGGTGTCGATATCTGGTTTGGGCAATGGGAGTGGAGTTTACCAAAGGGTGGCCCCCCCCAAAATGGACCCCACCAAGTCCCAAAAATTGACGCCAAAACACAGGAAATATTGCGATTTTCCCAGACTTGGGGGGGTCCATTTGGCAAGGTCCAAACCAAGGGGAAATTTACAAGTGGAGTTGCAGAAGGAAGGGGAGGTAGAAAAGGTTTGTGAAAATCACATGGCTTTTCTATTTGAAGGAAATTCAGGGAGATTGAAAAACGGAACCGAACAAATTTTAAGAACGGGTTTATCTTGGCAGAAGGGAGTGGCAATCTTGAACTGGCCCAAAAAGTGTCAAATTGGCAAAACGAAGGAAGAAACAAGATTTCCTGTGAAAAGGGTCCTGGGCTGCACAGGTCAGGAACCCCCATTCACCCAAAACATATAGTGCAAGTGCAAGGTTCTGTTTTGTTCAAACACGGACAACCTTGAACATGTATAGGAAATTGTGTTTTGGGTTCAACTGGGGATTGTGGATTTGTTTTGCACATCTTTAAAGGCCCATGGACAACAGAAAACTGATCGGATATGGTTAGGGAATACATATATATATATGATATATATATATATATATATAAAGATACATTTGGGCGCATGGTAGCTGCACTATAGTAGAAAATCTATAGGACAGGATGTCTGAAAAAAGGGACACTGAGGCACCTCTACTTTGGGGGTGCCCGAAAATAATCCATGTGCATTTTGTTTGAACCGATTCATCGACGGTTGTACAATCAAAAAACAAATCAAACTATATCAAAATACGCAGATAGATAGATAGATAGATAGATAAATAGATAGATAAATAGATAGATAGATAAATAGATAGATAGATAGATTGATTGATTGATAGATTGATAGATGGATAGATTGATAGATTGATAGATTGATAGATTGATAGGTAGATAGATAAATAGATAGATAGATAAATAGATAGATAGATAGATAGATAGACGGATAGGTAGATAGATAGATAAATAGATAAATAGATAGATTGATAGGTAGATAGATGAACTTAGATATAGATAGATAGGTAGAGGTAGATGGATTTTTAGATATATTCAAAAACTGATACTTGTATAATTTAATATAGGTACATTGGTAAACAGGTAAATAGATCAATGCTTATGCTCTGAATCGTTTTAACTTTTTAAAGGAACCAGCTTTGAAACACACCACCCCAAATCAAAACCACCGATGTCAGGGACTCTGATCCACAACTGTTTGCAACCAAAAAAAATGAGGTGCTTATGTGAAACACAAAGCTCGTTCGTACATGAACAGTTGCATTCTAAGAAAAACCATTTGCGGAAAAAAAAACACTTTTGCAAACCATATGTTCCTTGAAACAACTCCCCACCCAACTGTTAGCCCCAGCATCGAGCATGATGATTGATCAACGCCTTCAACGCATGCGATTCTTTGCCAATTCTTGCAGGAGATACGCCAGCCTAAGCCAACAAAAAAATCTTTTGACAATCAACAACGTGCATCAGATGTCAACATGCGACCAAAATGAATCCTGAAACCATTAATTTATTTTTTTTGATTCAAGGAACGCTCCAAAAATTATCAAGCTTCAAGAGAACTGTGAGAAGGAAATCAACGTGCCGCAATTGCTTGTAGAAGGTAGCGTGCCCGACAAAGTGTTTCAAGATCGGGACGTTCAGTTTCACAGCTAAGACTGAAATGTTTTTCTTCTTCTTGTTTCCCTTGCCCAGCTCTTCGTCACAGTCTTTTGCAACAGTGAACTTGGGCCATAAGAGAAAGGATTTCTTTGCACTAGTCAAAGCTTTCAGCTCCACGTCACCCGCCAGGTCCTGTCAGGAAAAAACGAAATCTTTGTATAATGGATTTTCTATCTGAAAAAATGGGATCAGGTATGCGTAGATTTTTCTGCACTGAAAAAAATGAAGACGAGTTTGCATTGTTCTTGTAATACTTCTCCTGCAGAATCTGTTTCGCACGTTCTTGGCTAGGAAGATCGCGAATGAAACTGGTGACCCATTCAAGGTCAAAGACCTTCTTCTGCTTATTGGCTCCGTTTTCTTCAGCCATAGCAAATCTAAGAACGCTCAAAGATCGATCTCTGGATCGGTCACCCCAAGAAAACAAATGGCTGCCAAAGAAAACGCAATACTCTTAAGGCATATCACCTGGACAAAAATGCCAAAACCTGGCCAAGATAAGCAACCCTTCAAGAAACTTGCACTCCAATTGAGCTGTCCAAGAAAAAATCTTTGAGGCCCAGACATTTCGAGGTGCTGCACTCATCCCCCAGGCCGCGCACAATCACAGCGTTAGACATGGCAAAAAAATCACAAGAACTGCGTGTCACTGGATTGAAAAATATACAAACAATCCGGTAAGAAACCATTCCATTGCCTTAGCTCACAACATGATCAAATCAGATAACCACATTGTCTGTCCGGAAAAATCTTTGTAAGTTGTTTTTTGTAAATAAAGGTTTTGGCAACTGCGCCAAAAATCAAAGAATCATCGCACCTCAAATAAGCAACTGTGGGGTTTACACCCTGGAACGATTGGAATTTCAGATAGTTGTTTGCGTTTGCGAACAACTGTCTGATATTCCAAGGCACTTAGGTGTATGTAATGTAATGTAATTGTAATTGCAATTGCAATTGTAATTGTGTCGTAATGTCATGTATGGTACGGTATGGCATGGTATGGTATGTATGTATGGATGTATGGATGTATGCATGTATGCATATACTGTGTATCTATGAATGTATCTATGTATGTATCTATGTATGTATCTATGTATGTATCTATGTATGTATCTATGTATGTATCTGTATGTATGCATCTATGTATGTAATGTAATGCAATGTAGTGTAATGTAGTGCAATGTAATGTAATTCAATGTAATTCAATGTAACGTAATGTAATGTAATACTGTATCCAATGTATGCCTGTCTGTTTGTCTGTCTGTCTGTACGTAATGTATGTTTGTATGTATGTAAAAATATGTTATTTATGTATGTATGTATGTATGTACGTATGTTTGTATGCATGTATGTATGTATGGATGGATGTATGTTTGTTTGTTTGTTTCTTTGCGTGTTTTTTTAAGCTACCATCAATGTATGTAAAGTATGTGTATAACCTTTGGACAATTCATTCCGAATTTTTGGGAGGCAATTTCGTGATTGATTGCTAAACCCTGATTTTAACAGCTTAAAGGTTTATTCATTCAGGGTTTGACACTGTATATTGTACAACAGATTGGGGAACTGCATGTTGACAACCTATCGTTTGTCGTTTGTATGCATGAAAAGGCAAAGAAACCATTTGTGGCTTGTACAGTGCAACAGTAAATCAACAAAGTAATTATATGCGATGCTTACTTCGGATGCACGAATACATGACTTGGGAACGCCAACGTGATAGGTCCCCAAAGCAGCTTTGTGGGGACCTATCGTAGGGGCTCAGGTTTGAAACGTTATTGGAAGACACATTCTTGTATCAGGTGTTTCGAAAAAGTAAATCGTGTGCACTGGAAAAGCAAGTCATACAGTCCAAACAATATGACACCGGAAGCCAATTCTCAAGAATTGGTTTTTCAATTTCTTGATTTTCAAGAATTGGTTTTTCAGCCGGTTTTTGGTTTAACCAAAAATTTTTTGGTCGAACAAAATTTTTTGGTCTTTAAGACCTCTAGGTAGATCGATATAGATCGATATAGATCGATATAGATCGATATATAGATCGATAAAGATCGATATAGATCGATAGATCGATCGATCGATCGATAGATAGATAGATATGTAGGTAGATAGGGATATAAGTAGATAGGTAGGCAGGTAGACAGACAGACAAACCGACAGACAGACAAGCAGGCACACAGATAGGAAGAAAGAGAGACAGACAGACAGGCAGGCAGCCAACCAGACAGACAGAAAGAGATGCAGACAGACAGATAGAAAGACAGTCAGAGCTAGATAGAGAGATAAAGGGATAGCTAGACAGCAAGAAAGACAGATAGATACGCAGATAGGCAGATAGATAGACAAACAGACAGATAGATAGATAGACAACGGAAGTAGGTAAATA